AACATTCTTGGCACCCAGGCAGGTCTTCAGGAGCGACAAGCAGCCCGTACTGCACTCCCAGCCCGGGAGGGAGTCACAGGCAGAGAGTTCCGAGGGCAGGACCTGCGCTCCGCAGCGCAGGGACCTCGGACGTGAGCACCGTGGACAGAGCAGCACTGGTTACCTCAGGGGCGTCACCTGCCTTGCGCGCTCGGGTGCCCCCTGCAGAGGAGGCTGGGGCTCCGGCTCGCCCTCGCCATGAGCTGGCAGGAGCGCCCTCACTGAGCTGAAGGGAAGGCTGTTGTTTTGGAGCCGTCCACAAACTTAGCAACTTAGTTTCTTGGAAAAGGTAACTCAGAAGAGAAACATAAACGGTGTCGCAGCGTTTTATCGGCTGTTGTGTGTTTTTGTCACGCTTTAAAGGGGGTGTGACCTGTGGTCCGTGCCAGGACACCACGCCGTTCAGGACACCAAGCCAGTGTTGCGTGGGGTGACGGCTACGTTTTCTCTTTAAACTGAGACCCTGCAAACACAAATTTTTTTGGGTGGGGGGGGTCGTGATTATTTCTAGAACAGGGAAGCTGAGAAGGACCAGCCTGAGCCTGCCACCAAGACGAGCCAGGCGGGTGCCCAGGACACACGGGGACCGGAGGCCTTGGCTACAGAGACGAGTCACCTGGGTGCGTATTGGGGGCGGTGACCGCACTGGGACTAGGCCCCGGAGCGGCTCGCTGTTGGGGTCGGGTGGTCGAGACAGTTGTGTGACGGGAAGATGAGCCCACACTCTGGTCACGACAGAGACTTCCGACTGTGGCCTTTCCTGTCGCTGCTGCCGTGAAGGGGGAGACGGGGAGGCCCCGTTTGCTCTCAGACGCTGACTCCCGAGCTGCGCAGGCCCTGGCACTGCGGGAGCGCCCAGCTGACTGGTTGCCCGGGGCCTCCCGGGGCCGGTGCTGGTGTCTCTGTGCCCAGCTGCTCGGGTTGTTGGGTGTTGCCTGACCCTGTGCCTCCCTTGGACCCAGGCGATGAGCTGCAGACCCCGGGGGCCCGAGAGAAGGAGTTCTTCAACCCCCTGCTCAACGAGAACCAGCAGCTGGCCGTGCGCAGGATCCTGAGTGGCGACTGCCGCCCCCTCCCGTACGTCCTCTTCGGGCCTCCTGGCACTGGGAAGACGGTGACCATCATCGAGGCTGTGTTACAGGTGACGGAGGCCGCGCCGTCCCCGTGAGCTTGGCTGGGGGGGCGGGAGGTGCGTGGCGGAAATTCTGTGTCTGTTTACATGTGAATCAGAGCTTGCAAGGTCCAGCTGCTTCTGTTTAGCTAAGTCTGTCTGGTGTTGTTTGCGGGCTGTGCAGGGTGTGAAAGCTTATTTCACGGGTTTAGAAGGGAGCCTCCCGTTCTCAGGAGAGTAAGCCGCTCGCCCGTCACAGGATGGTCTGCAGGTGCCTGCGGGCCTGCCTGTGTCGCAGCGAGTGTGGGCGTGTGTGCCTGTAGCGCTGCCCCCCTGGGGCTGCGGATGAACACGTAGGCAGAGCGCCCAGCTGCCCTCCTGCAGGCGGGCGGGCCCCACCACCTGCTCCCATGGCGAGGGCGTCACTGCTGGGACTGGCCCCAGGCTGACTGCCGCCTCCTGTGCTGGTGAAGGTGTACCATGCCCTGCCCGACAGCCGGATTCTGGTCTGTGCGCCCTCCAACAGCGCCGCCGACCTCGTGTGCTTGCGGCTGCACGAGAGCTGCCTGCTGCGACCGGGCACCATGGTGCGCGTGAACGCCACCTGCAGGTTCGAGGAGGTGAGCCTGCCTCTGTCCTGCTCCTGCTGCCGCCCCTCCCTCACAGCTGCAGTCCCTCCTGGGTCTGGGGGCAGCTCAGCTGGTTTGCTTGTAGGTGAAGGGCTAGTTAGAGACCAAAGCTAGGAAATGGGTGACGTTAGAAGTAATGTTTGGGGGAAGGATCTGCAGGGTTATATGTTACATTCATGGCTCCAGAGTCGATAAAATGGGGACTAAATTGATAAGAAAATACAAGTATTTTTATTTAAGAAGACAATCTTACGTCGTTACTTAGTCGTAACTGAGAAGTGGAGCAGGACAGTGAGCTTGTAGGAGTCCTTCCGACTTTGTGATCATGTCAATTAAAGACACTTAGTAACTTGAAAACAAACTGCCCCCCACCCCCCAGACGATCGCCGAGGCCATCAAGGCGTACTGCAAAGACGGGGAGGACATCTGGAAGGCCTCGCGCTTCCGCATCATCATCAGCACCTGCAGCAGCGCCGGCCTCTTCTACCAGATCGGAGTGCGGTGAGCGTGGCGGGCGGGGCAGCGGGAGAGGCCTCTGTCCTGACAGCAGGTCAGGGGGCTCCTCCAAGGAAGGGGGGTTTGTGCTGAGACCCCAGGGTGACAGGGCCCCAAGGCTTCCGGAGGGCGATCCCAGAGGGTGGGGAAGGAGCGAGCGTGCGGGTGGCAACCAGACCAGAGGCAGGAAGCACCTTGTTTCACTGGAGAGACAGGAGGGGCCGAGGGGACCGTGGCAGGACCACCACTCAGTGGGCGGGGCGGGGGCCTCGGGAGGCTGAGGAGGTGTGAGCAGAAACGGCCCAGTCTCATGGAAGAAACTAAGGAACCGTAGGCCGTTCGGGATCCAGAGTTTAAGTGCTTATGTTCCAAGGAAGGTACCTACTGTTAAGCTTTCCAGCAGAGACGGGGCGTGAGGTAGAAAACGAGTGTGCTGCCCGTCCTGGGGTGGGGCAGGCGGGGGGGCGTTCATTTGAGATGCACAGACTCAGGCCTGTGCCTGAGCGAGCTGACGGCCAGTCAGGGCAACGCGGGCCCAACACTGCTGGCGGCTCCACGTGAGCAGGGGCCCCGCGCTGGGGTCTCCGTCCATGGCTGGGGGCTCAAGGCCTGGCTCCGCCCAAGGCTGTCCTGGCGGCAGCAGCTCCAGCCGAGAGCATGACTCGGGCAGTCTCCCCACGTGGGAATGTTGCCCAGTGCCCACCTGACCAGCTTACCCTGTCGCACTCCGCCCGGAACCTTGGGGAAACCAAGACACAGAGAGGAGCAGGACCTGCCCAAGGTCGCCCAGCTTCTGCGTGAGGGAGCGGGGCTCCAGCCCAGGCCCCTGCGGTGGGCGGCAGTCCCCAGCCTGGACCACGGCCGCCCAGCAGCTCCCCACCGTGCAGCCCCTCACCTGTCCCCTCAGTCTTTTGAAACAGGCGTGTGGGGTAGGGTCCAGTGGGGACGGGAACTCAGTCTCCTGATGGGCTGTGGGTGCCTCCCGGGCTGGCCACCGAGCCCCAGGGACGCTGACCGAGGTGACCACGTATGTCTTTGGCTCCAGAGTCGGACACTTCACGCATGTGTTTGTGGATGAAGCCGGACAGGCCAGTGAGCCGGAGTGCCTCATTCCTCTGGGGCTGGTCTCCGACATCAGCGGCCAGGTGAGGCCTTGCTGTGCCGTCCGCCTGTCGGCACCATCCTGGTCCCCGGGCACACGGGGGGAAGGGCTGCCTCCCTCCCTCTCCTCTCTCACACACGTTCACACGCACTCACTTTCTCTCACACATGCATGCACTCACATGCACTCGCATTCTCACACATTCTCACACTCGCACTTACACACGCACTCTTACACACACACACACACACACACGCGCGCGCGCGCGGTCGCTGGCACCCGTGGTTGGGTGCAGAGACTAGCGGCCCTGGAGCACCCCTCTGCCCCCACCTGTCCCTCTGTCCTGGGCTGAGCACTGGCCTGTGGTAGTGACTGGGGTCAGCCCCCACACTCACCCTGGCTGACGGAGGGGAATTCGAGTCTCACCTCCTCCCTCAGTCCCCAGGGGTCAGGCTGGGTCCAGCAGGGGCGGAACTCGCCAGTGGCTGTGTCCAGGCCTGGGGCTGCGCTCCTGCCTCCGCCGCCTTCCCCCCACGCACGCTGTGGCTGACGCTCTGCGTGGGCTGCAGCCGCTGTTCCTGCAGCGGTTCCCGTCTGTGTGGCAGATCGTCCTTGCCGGGGACCCCATGCAGCTCGGGCCCGTGATCAAGTCCCGGCTCGCCATGGCCTACGGGCTGAACGTGTCCATGCTGGAGAGGCTGATGGCCCGGCCCGTGTACCTGCGAGACGAGGACGCTTTCGGTGCTTGTGGCGCCTACAACCCCCTGCTGGTGAGTCAGGCCCCACGGGTGCTGGGCCCCTGAGGGACAGCACAGGGTGCCCATGGGGTGGCCCAGTGCAGACGGGGCCACAGGAATCTGCACTGCAGGGCCCAGTGCTGGAGCCGGCCGGGGTCGTGGGCCCCTCCCCGCGTGCTGCCCTCTGAACCCAGTGCTGGCGCCGCAGAGCTTGCCCCCGGGGCAGAGGAGCGTGGCTGTGGACGGGCAGTCACCTGGGGAGTGGGGAGGACACGGAGGCGGGGTCCACTCCTTGAGAGGGGTCGTTGGGAGCCACGAAACTGCCCACAAGGAGGGCTGCCTGTGGCCTGGCGCCTCCTGCCTGGGAGAGGACGTCTGCCCGCCCTGTGCCGGGGCCTGGGGCTGGGCTCTGCTGGGTGGCAGGACGGGCCCTGCAGGCAGAACGCCCTTCCAGGTGCCCACAGGCTGGACAGCAGGGCCTGGCCTCCTGCTCTTGTTTTCCCAAAGGTCACTTTGCTATTAAAATGGACCTTCTGAGGGGCCAAGGTCACTTTCTGCTCAGGCGGCGATGAGAGGCCGGGAGTCTGGGGGGCGGGGTGGGGGAGGGAGGCATCACTCCCCTTTCAGCAGGACGAGCGCGTGCTGACCCGCTGCCCCTGCCGCGCTCTCCCTGCAG